CGCAAGCCACCTGGGAGACATGGGCATCGACCTCGGGCTCATCGGGCCCATTGCGGAGGAGTTCAATCGTCAGGCTGACGCCCTCGCCACAACGGCGGCGCGCACTCACAACCTTCCAGACGACATTGTCGAAGCTGCCAAAACACGACATCGCCAAGCGACCGTGCTTCATGGGGTCGCTGTCGCCATCTACGAGCGTAGACACCGCACACTCCCGCTCCCACACCGCAGGGCTGGGTTTACAGCTGCGGAACTCAACAAAATGGAACCAACCCCCCTGCTGTCTGACCAGGCACCACCCGCGGATGGACCAGACATCCCACAGAACCCGGACGAGCTCTGGGCCGAGGCCCAACGGGCGATATTCGACGAACAGGAGGACGACCCGTTCGGCTTCGGCGGGGGACTGGACTTCCTAGGCGACGGGCCAGCCAGCGCCAACCTTGCCCCGTCGGGCATCCGCACGTCGCCCTCGACTCCGCCACCGAGAGCGGCATCGCACCCACATGACAACGCCGCTCACCTCCAAGACGCTGACGAACAGGAGGACGACCCGTTCAGCTTCGATGGGGGATCAGACGTTTTGGATGACGGCCCAGTCAGCGACAACCCTGCCCCGTCGGGCAATCCCTCGACGCCTACAGCGACTCCGTCTCCGAGAGCGACATCGCCCCCATATGATGTTATCGGTCACCGCCAAGACGCCGACGACGACCTGGGTGACCCCCGCGGACTGAGTGGCATAGACGACGCACCGCCGACACCCCATGCTGCCGACCATGCCGCCCTACCGAGACGCCAACCTACTACGCGGCTGACCTCAGAGCCCTTGCACGGCATCTTGATTGGTCCCACCGCGCAAACCACTCCGCCCCCCCACCAGCGGCAGCCCGCGGGGGCGGCTTCAGCCCCCCCGCAGGGCACTGAACCTGACAGGCCCTCGCACCCCGTTCACGCTTCCATCGTGGCTGAGCGGGAGGATGCGGCTCTCCCGACTTCTCGGGGCGTTGCCCTAGCGGCTCCAGCCCTGGGGCCGCGCGCCCCCTGCCAGTCACCTTCTAAGGGTGACGGACGACAGCATACAGGGTGCCGTACTACGCTTGTCCACCATCTGGATAGGCGTACCGAGGACCTCGCCCCTGTCACGCGGCCCGCGGCCGCTGGCACTGAGCAGCCACCCCTCACCGACCGCGAAACCGAGCTGTCCCAGGCTATGGCCGCTCTCCAGCAGAGGTGCGTTGCTCTAGCCGCGGACCTCGCCGCCGCCCAAGCTCGCCAAGGCCCTCTACTCCAGCGCCTCCACAGCGCCGGGCGAGCCTTCGCCGAGCTGCTTACGCCCTCGCCCGATGGTGCCGTGCCGTCACTCACCATCCAAGCTATGCTGTCATCGTTCCGCGGCGCTCCACCTGGTGCCCCGCGCTAATCTCCTCCTTCTGCCTGCCCGTGAGTACGCGTGGCTCCGCGTCCACGGTGTCAGGGCGCGGGGGCGGGGGGTGCCCCGTCACTGCGCGCCGCTTTGCGGCCAAGCGCCCAACTGGCGGTCTGCCAAGCCGCCTAGCCACGTGTCAGCACGTCGCCTTTCTTGTTGGGGCCTCTTTCTTCACGCGGTCTGACAGGTGAGATCATCACCGTCTGTCCGCCGTCTGTTGTGTCTGTCGCACTGCGCCGGGGGAGGGGGTTTTTGTTGCCCGCCCTCGCATCTAAAGGCTGCACCGCCGCAAATAGTGTTTTGCGAGCTGTCGCACTGCAAAGCGCCTCGCGGACGGACCCTGGTCCGCCTACTTGTCCGCTATCTCTCTCTCTCTCTCTCTCTCTCTCTCTCTCTCTCTCTCTCTCTCTCTCTCTCTCTCTCTCTCTCTCTCTTCTCTCTTCTCTCTTCTCTCTTTCTCTCGCCTGTCTCCTCTCTCAACTCCCCCATCCCTCTCTCTCTCTCTCTCTCTCTCTCTCTCTCTCTCTTTTCCTCTCCCTCTCTCATCGCTTCCATCTCTCTCTCTCTCTCTCTCTCTCTCTCTCTCTCTCTCTCTCGCTTGCTCTCCTCCTACTCTCTCTCTCTTCTCCTTCTCTCGTCTCCTCTCTCTCTTCTCTCTCTCTTTATAATCTCCTTCTCTCTCTCTCTCTATCTTCCTCTCTCTCTCTCTCTCTCTCTCTCTCTCTTCCTCTCTCTCTCTGCCTCGCTCTCTCTCTCTTCTCATCTCTCTTCTCTCTCTCTCTCTCTCCTCATCTCTCTCTCTCGCGCTCGCGGGCTCAAGCGCTCGCGCTCGCGCTCTCGCGCTCTCTATCTACTCCTCTCTCTCTCTCTCTCTCTCTCTCTCTCTCTCTCTTCTCTCTCTCTTCTCTCTCTCATCTTTCTCTCTCTCTCTCTCTCTCTCTCTCTCTCTCTCGTCTCTCTCTCTCGCTCTCCTCATCCGCTCTCAAACTCCCCCTCTCTCTCTCCTCTCCTCTCTCTCTCTCTCTCTCTCTCTCTCTCTCTCTCTCTCTCTCTCTCTCTCTCTCTCTCTCTCCTCCTCTCTGCTCTCTTCGCTACTGGCTTCTGACGGAGTCTGGGTTAGGTGAGCCTGAGTGTGGGTGAGTCTGAGTATGGGTACGTCTGTGTGTGCCTGACTCTGAAGAAATGAATCTGAGTGTGAGTGAGCTTGTGCATGAGTGAGTCTGGGTGCGAGTCTGAATCCCAATGGCGCCCCTGGCAGTGTCTGGCGACTAGGAGGCCCGGGTCGACTCCTCTTTGGGAAGCCAAAATGCTGCCCCTGGCAGCGTTTGGTGACTATGAAGCCCCTGGTGGACCCCCCCTGGGGCTCCCAAATGATGCCCCTGGCAGCGTTTTGTGACCATGAGGCTCTCAAGAGAGGCATGTTGGGGAGGCCAAACGGCAATTTTAGCTGAGACGTCCCACCAAAATCGGCGCGAACGGGCTCGTGATATCAGCCAGGGTGGCTCCCCCTTGGGGCTCCCAAATGATGCCCCTGGCAGCGTTTTGTGACCATGAGGCTCTCAAGAGAGACATGTTGGTGAGGCCAAACGGCAATTTTAGCTGAGACGTCCCACCAAAATCGGCGCGAACGGGCTCGTGAGATCAGCCAGGGTGGCTCCCCCTTGGGGCTCCCAAATGATGCCCCTGGCAGCGTTTTGTGACCATGAGGCTCTCAAGAGAGACATGTTGGGGAGGCCAAACGGCAATTTTATCTGAGACGTCCCACCAAAATCGGCGCGAACGGGCTCGTGATATCAGCCAGGGTGGCTCCCCCTTGGGGCTCCCAAATGATGCCCCTTAGCAAGCGTATCCTCACCATGAGCTCTCAAAGAGAACCCTTGGGACCAAACGCAATTTAAGCTAAAGTCCCCACCAAAATCGGCGCGAACGGGCTCGTGAGAACAGCCAGGGTGGCCCCCCCTTGGGGCTCCCAAATGATGCCCCTGCAGCGTTTTGTGACCATGAGGCTCTCAAGAGATACATGTTGGGGAGGCCAAACGGCAATTCTGGCTGAGGTGTCCCACCAAAATCGGCGCGAACGGGCTCGTGAGATCAGCCAGGGTGGCTCCCCCTTGGGGCTCCCAAATGATGCCCCTGGCAGCGTTTTGTGATCATGAGAGAGTGTGGGTGTGAGTGAATGTGACTGTGAGTGAGTCTGAGTGAGAGTGAGTCTCATCTTATCTTATCGAGTCCTATCTTATCTTACCTTTATTACCCTCTATCTTATCTTATCTAGAAATCTCTTATCTTGTCTTAGCTTATCTTATATCAACTCATCTTATCGCATCATATCTTGTCTTATCTTATTACTCCATAGGCTGTCTTATCTTATCTATTATCCTACCTTGTCATATATCTTATCTTACCTTATCATATATTGTGCTATCTTATCTTAGATTGTAGTATCTTATCTTGTCTTGTCTTATCTGGTGATTATCATTGGGAGGAGGGAGGCGCGAGCGGGAGGAAGGAGGAAGGAGTCCGCGCGTGGGAGGCGTCAGAGTTATAACAAGAACCCCAATCCTTAGGATATGGGGAAAAAACAAGCTTTCTCCGACTGGTGATCCATGTCTCGGCATAGTGTTGCTCTCATCAGCAGGTCTGCGAATGCACGCCCTCCAACTATTGTGCGGGTCGCCCGCGCAACTTCTCCAGGAATACCCTGATCAGAAATGAAGCGAGGTCCGATATACAACTCGGACAGAAAGCGTAAAGTAACAGGATCGAGAGAGGACCAGGAGAAGGAGGAAGAGGAAAAAAAAACACCGCGGCCACCGTGCCGCCACGGTGGAAGGCAGAAACCTCCACCCGGCCGCCACGGTGGAAATTCCCCAAGTGGCCCCAACTCCGCGGTCTGGGTACCCTGCTCCTGCTTGCAAGGAAGGGTACCAGTCGCGGGGATGGCGGTCATTTGGGGGGCTTCCTATGTACAAGGAGAGAGGCCGCTCTGCCTTCCCACTTGGCGAGTGTGGCCGGCCACCGTCCACGGCCAGCGGCACCCGCCAACCGTTTCAACTTCGGGATTATACTCCCCCAGGGCTGGCTGTTGGCCAGCCCTGGGGGAAGCGGCAGCGTTCGACGAACTCCATGGAGGTCATTGCCTCATTGCCTCAGGGGGAGGTGGAGCGTGGCGAGTACCATGATCGACGACCCCCCAGGGAGGCCCAGGCCCGCCACACACGCTGACCGTGATGGCGAGGCACGAGGACAAGCGGGCGGATGCGAGGCAAGAGGAACGCGCCGAAGTCGACGGGAATGGGACATGGGGCGCAGCCAGGGCACCACGCCCTGCCGCCGCGGCGGCAGGCCCCGCCTGGCCGCCCACGCCCGACGGCGCGCCGAGCGGTCACGGCGCCCTGCGGCGGCCCCGGGCGATGCCGAGGAACCTTGGAGGCGGAAGGAGAAGCCCCCAGCAGCGACTCCCAACGGGGGAGGCCCCGGCCTGAGGGGGAGGTGGAAGGTGGAGAAGCAGAAGGAGGATGAGAACGAGGAGGAGGAGGGAGGGAACACCGAGAGCACTAATTTGGTAGGTAGGAAAAGGTAGGAGGAGGAGGAGGGAGGAGGAGGAGGAGGAGGGAGGAGAGACGCCCCTCCTTCTCCCGGTCCGCTCGCCCGCCGCCGCGTGGAGGGGGGAGGGGGGGAAGGGTCGCGCTCACAGGTTGCTGCGCAGCACCTCGGCCGGCTGTAGCGGGCGCGAGTGCGCGCCACCCGCCCACCAGTAGGAGGCAGGGGGGGGGGAGGAGTTGCAAGAAAGCGACTTCAAACCACTCACGCGTCGATGCTGTCTTCGAACGCCCATCGACTCAAGTCGAAATGGGCTGGAGCCGAACACGATTCGATCTAGACTCCTACAGATCCCCGAAACGAACATCTAAGGGAATGGTCCTCCTCCCGCCCTCCTCCCTCCTCCCCCTCCTCCTCCTTCTCCTCCTCTTCCTCCTGCTCTTCCTCCTCCTCCTTTTCCTCCTTCGCCTCCTTTTCCTCCTCCTCCTCCTCCTCCTCATCTTCATCCTGCTCCTCCTGCTCCTCCTCCTCCTCCTCCTCCTCCTCCTCCTCCTCCTCCTCCTCCTCCTCCCTCTCTCCCCCTCCCTTCACCCCTCTCGTCCCCCTCCCCCCCGCGCGCGCTCCCGAATATCGCGGAGACAGGGGGGAGACGGAGACGAGGAAGGGCAACTTTGTCACCAGACTGAAACATGTCCCTGTCCCTGTGATGAGTACCACCTTCTCCCAATGCCGATCCCGAGGATGACCTTAGTTTCTGAGGGCGCATCCCTGAGATTGTCATCGCCTTTTGGCTTGTGACTTTGAGGGGTAGTGGTAGTGGTAGGTTCGAGACCCTGGGCGATTCTGTCTGCGGCCCCTGGTTATAACAGGCCTCTCGGGGCCCTTGCGGAGGCCCGGAAGCCGCCGGGGACCTCCAAACCTCTGGACGGGATGGAGGCCGAAAGGGAACCGTGAGTGGAACAGAGAGGGAAGACAGAGGCCCTTGGCAAAACCAGGCGGGCCATGCGCATCGGAATGGCCAACCTGGCAGTTCCAGCAGGACGAGGAGGAAGAGGTCCCTGACCCTCCAGAACTTCATTTGAACTGGAGGGGGTAGCGATGCCTTCGTTGAGACCACCGATTTGGCACTTCCTTGCCTCCTTCTGAATCTAGCCACGTGGCGGGCGCCAGAATTAGGGGGAAGTGGGGGAGATCGAACAAGAACGCGCAACCACGGTCACAATGTAACAAGTCGCAGATGACTCAAGAGCCTCCTGCTGTCACGAATCAGCAGCTGGAGTTCCCTGCTGGGCCCCCCAAGGCAACACCCCGGGAAACGGCCGATCTCACCCCGAACAAGGGGTGCTCCTCCTCTTGATGCGCTGCTTCGGCGAGCGCGTACACCTGCTGCACAAGATCTGAAACGCTGGCAGCAGCGATATATGACCCAGGAGGACGAGGAGGAGGAGGAGGAGGAGGAGGAGGAGGAGGAGGAGGAGGACGGAGGAGGACGGAGGAGGAGGAGAAAGAGGAGGGGCCAGGCTGGGTCAAGGCCCAAGATTGGGGTGTGCAGTCGTTGTGCTACCACGAGGAGCGCCAAATGTAAGTAGCGAAGGGGCTCGTTCTGGCCACGAAGAGCCTCGGCCACGAAGAGGCTCCCAGCCCTAAACCTAAGGGACGGCCCGGACACCCGAGCCCCTCCGGAGCCCCGAAGCGCTCCTTGTTTCAGCGCCTTGACTGTCACCCGAACCCACCCCGAAGACCCGAACTTCGGGTTTGGGGGGGGGGCGGGCTTCATATGCGTTTTTCCCAGACATCCTGTGGTGTTAGGGTCCTCGTTTTGAAAAGGCGGTCCCCGCGTCTCCTTCCTCCCTCGTCCCTCCTCGCTCCTCCCCCCCATCTCCCTCCTCCCTGCGTTTCACCGACACAGTACAACGCTTCGTGGCCCCATAGGGAGCTCCACCTAAGGCCCCAGTGGGGGTGGCCATCTGCGTCCGCCACACTCAGTACAGCGCTTTGTGGCCCCATAGGGAGCCCCACCCAAGGCCCCCGTGGGGTCGTCCGCGTGCGTCCGCCACACCCAGTACAGCGCTTCGTGGCCCCATAAAGAGCTCCACCAAAGCCCCCGTGGGGTTGTCCGCGTGCGTCGGCCACACCCAGTACAGCGCTTCGTGGCCCCATAGGGAGCTCCACCCAAGGCCCCAGTGGGAGATGGACACATGCGTCCGCCACACCCAGAACAGCGCTTCGTGGCCCCATAAGGAGCTCCACCCAAGGCCCCCGTGGGGTTGTCCGCGTGCGTCGGCCACACCCAGTACAGCGCTTCGTGGCCCCATAGGGAGCTCCACCGAATGCCCCAGTGGGGGATGGACACATGCGTCCGCCACACCCAGTACAACGCTTCGTGGCCCCATCGGGAGCTCCACCGAAGGCCCCAGTGGGGGTGGCCACATGCGTCCGTCACACCCAGTACAACGCTTCGTGGCCCCATAGGGGGTTCCACCCAAGGCCCCAGTGGGTGTGGCCACATGCGTCCGCCAAACCCAGCCCAATACAGCGCTTCGTGGCCCCATAAGGGGGCTCCACTTAAGGCCCCAGTGGGGGTGCCCGCATGCTTCCGCCACGCCCACGTCGGCACATTCACACGTTTCGTGGCCCCATAAGGAGCTCCACCTAAGGCTTGAGTGGGGGTGGCCACATGCGCCCGCCACACCCATGTCGGCACATTCACGCGCTTCGTGGCCCCATAGGGAACCCCACCTAAGGCCCCAGCCACATGCGTCCGCCACACCCAGTACAGTGTTTCGTGGCCCAATAGGAACCCCACCCAAGGCCCCAGTGGGGGTGGCCACATGCGCCCGCCACACCCAGTACAGCGCTTCGTGGCCCCATAAGGAGCTCCACCTAAAGCCCCAGTGGGGGTGGCCACATGCGCCCGCCACACCCAGCACAGCGCTCCGTGGCCCTACAGTGAGCTCCACCGAAGGCCCCAGTGGTTTGTCCGCATGCGTCCGCCGCACTCAGTACGACGTTTCGTGGCCCCATAGGGGGTTCCACCCGCGGCCCCAGTGGGGGTGCCCGCATGCGTCCGCCACACCCAGTACACCCCTCACACGCTTCGTGGCCCGTTAGGCCCCCGCCACGCCCAGTATTCACAGTCATATGTCATATACATTTACACTAGGCGTATACATGCTCGCATTCATGCACATAGACTTACTCGCACGCAGACTCAATCACAATCAGACGCGCTCGCGCTCAGTCTCACCCGCGCTCAGTCCCCCGTGCTCAGGCCTACCGTTTCCGTTCGTGTTGTGTACCCCGCCACACATGTCGGTACACCCCTCGCACGCTTCGTGGCCCCATAGGAATCGCCACCGAAGAAGGTATTCACAATTGCGGCACTCACAGCTGCATATGGCTGGGTCCTTCGCCAGGATAATTTTCAACCTTCCCCGACCCCCACTGGGAGTGAGGGTAAATTGTGGTCTTCAGGTTGGGTTGGGGTGGCCTGGTGAGTGGTGGAATGGCTCCCCCCTGCTGGGCTGGTGGCCAGGGCCACGACGAGGAGCGTGACGGCAAGCCTGGGCCCGGTATGGGCCTGGCCAGGCCCAGTGGAACGGCCGGCGCCCCGCAGTCCGCGGCTTGTCCCTGTCCTGCCGACGCCTCGCCTCATGCTTCACTCAAGCTCGAACGAGCTCACCTGTAAGACGAAGCCAGGACGAGGATAACATTCGGCGAGGATGAATCGAGAATCTCTGAAACCTGGCGGCTCCAGAGGACGTATCGGTCGCCGCAGCCTTCCCAGAACGTTCCGGAACGCTTTGAGAGCGTTCCGAAACGCTCTGGAACGGACTTTATTCTCGTCCCAGCCCCGCCCGAACCTGTCCAACAGCGTGCATTGATCAATGTTGGCCATCAGGCCGCCAGGTGGACTTCACCCTTGAACGCCCGCGCCACGTCGCCGCCGCGCTGGCGAGGCGCGAGCCTGCCGTAGCTGACGTCCACATCCGACGTCACGATCTCTTCGTGACCGGTTCTTCATCCCAGATCGTTGTCTGACGACACCCGGGCACCGAGACGGACGTGACGAACGCCAATGGATCGGGGGAGGACCTGCCGTTGCGATGTTGTTCCTGACGCCAGGTTGCTCCAGAAGAGCGAGGAGCAAAAACAGTCAGTCACTTTCGAATTTCCGCACGCATTCCTTGGGTCGGCGCGGGCCCCCGCACTGGCAGGGTGGAGACGCCGCAAATTCGTCCCCGTGCTATTCTTGGCATGGGGCAGGCTGGTCCTGAGGGAAATGGGTCCTGGACCCCAAGGCCTTCCCCCAATGACCAGCTTTTGGTCGTCAGTCGTTTGTGGACAAACTCAGGGCCCGTAGGGCCCAGGGATGGCAACACTGGGCGAAACACTTCAGGACCCGTTTCCCTCAGGACCCGTTCCCAGATGTCCAGCGACGCAATCTTTTCAATGCGCCGCTCCAAGAGCTTCGGACCCCTTTCCTACCTGGGGGTAATATCTCGTCACGTACCCATTTCTGATGGTCCCGAGGCTCAATAACTACACCTGGAGGCCGAAACCGAGGAGCCACGCCGGGGTTGGAACCATCAGAACCTCCTCAGAGATCCGGATTTGCTTCATGGCGATCCTTGCTCCTCGGAGGACATGAAGGCTGGCTGGCGCGCACCCCTCGGGTCGAACGATCGGAGGGGATGGCAAGGAGGGGGGGAGCCAACCAGCTCACGCAGCTGGTCTGCCTGGCGCCTCTCGGCGCCTGAGACTGCCGGCGCCGGGGATGCGAACGCATCGACCAAGAGGCGCCCGGCGGCGGGGCCGCCGAGACCAAACGGATGTAGCATGCCGCAGATTTTGACCTCCCCCCGCCCCGCCTTCCCGGTGTTCGGGGGGAACGTTCGGGCGGGGGGCGGCTCATGGGGGAGAACAGCACGCTGGCGTCGATACGTTGCCGATATCAGCGATGGGCCACCGGCAGCAAATCCGCACGCTCCAGCACGGCTTGGGTTATCAGGCCCCTAGTGGCGATGCGTGCGCCCCCCCTGAACCGATCCCCCTCCAACGGTGTCCCTGATCCGGGGGAAACCGGGAAACCACAAGACACCGATACCGCTGCTCCCTGGACCTCCTGGGCTGCGTTCCGGACAAAATTTCCAAGCGAAGCCAACCGTGGCGACGGGGGCCTCCCACGAAGCCCAAAAGGGCGAAAACGCGGGAAGGGTAGCGATATCAGTACCGTTTTCCCCCCCTGACCCCCCTCCCTCCCCAGCCAGAACTCGGCTCTCCGGCGGCGGTTCGAAACGATTCAAGCAGCCCCAGAACGCGCTCGGCGAGGCGCAGCCATTGGAGAGCATTCCGAGACCAGGAAGCCGCCGAAATCCGACGAACACGCAAACAAAATCATTAACCTCGATCCTACTCCCCCACTGACGTGGGCCACCTAAAGACTGGACGCCTTCTCTGGGACCGGCTCTTCATCCCAATTCGTCATTTGGCAATCCTAGGGCCTGGTAAGGGGCCCTGGACGCCGAAATTAACAAATAAAAAGAATCCCGTCGTGGCGTCGGTTGTTTCTGTTGAGCGATGGCAAGGCTGAGCTTTCTCCTGCATGCACGCTGGCCTCTGCGGAGCGTGGACAAACCATTGTGTGCAATGCTAGGTTTAGTACGGTGCAGCTAAGCCCTTACTCCTACACTGCACCCTGCCTCAAATGTGTGTCTTTGCTTCTTTCGGTGGCACGTTCTAGTCCCCGCAATTGGTCTCACTGCCTCGCCTGGGCTCATGGTCACCATCCTGGGCGTAGCTCTTCGTCCCAGATTCATGTTTGATCGCCCCGGGGGCCCGACACTGGCTCCTGAGGGCCGAAAGCGAGGACGGCCTGCCGATGGAAAACATCGCATCTAGGGATCCCACGAAGGACGTGCGCGCCCACCCACGTACCTGAACACGGTCCCCCCACTCCTCGAGACCGGCCGCGTGATACGAACGTTCGGGCAATGCGTACCCTCGAAACCAACGTGGGTTCATGTACGTGTACGTCTTTCATGAATATCGTCGGAGATCTGAGATTCCCCCTGTCTCTAAAATCGGCAGAACACCCTTGAGCAAAACGCCCTTGAGTGAAAGCTGCCAGAGACAGTCCACGTGCGCACGGCACCGCATTCCGAATGGACCCCCGCGGGGTAGCTAACTAATCGACGTCCAAAAACAGGCAGACGTCCGCACCCAGCGCGTACCCAGCGAAACGCATGTCGATTAGCGAAACCGACTGGGAGCTGCATGCCAGTGTCGGGAGAACCCGTGCATGTTTCCGCTGTGGACTTGTCTGGGCGGGCGTTCTCTCAATGCCCGACCTTCCCAATGCCCCCTCCCGTCCGGCCCGAATCCCCTAAGGGGAAGAGGGGGGGGCAGGCAGGGATGTATCCCGAGCCCCGACGTTGCGAACAAAACAAACATTGCGAGGACACGTGCAAACTGGGTCTCAAAGGAGGTGCGCTCTCTTGGCATGGGGGGAACGGGTCCTACGGAAACGGGTCCTCGACCCTGGTGCCTCCGCCCAAGACGAATTTTTCATCCCGACCCGTTATATGACAGCCCCGGGGCCCCCAGGAGGGCAGGGTAGCGGTATCGGTACCTCTTCCTCCCCCGCGAAAAACTTCGACCGTACCTCAAAAATCCGATCCCCCCCGACCAGGCGCGAACTTATATCCCTATCGCAAACATGGGCACGCCCAACGCGATGACAATACTGGGGATGTGCCCTCAGGAACTGAGGGAACCCGTAAGGTCGGCATCGAAGTAAGGTGATGCCAAACACAGGGGTGGGAAAAGCATACACACAACAAAACAAACAAAACACACAACAAACACACACGTGGGATAAAAAAAAACACGTGGGAAAAAAACACACAGACGTGTGTGTGTGTGTGTGTGTGTGTGTGTGTGTGTGTGTGTGTGTGTGTGTGTGTGTGTGTGTGTGTGTGTGTTTTGTGTGTGTGTGTGTTTTTGTGTGTATGTTGTTTCAAACTGGCCATAATGCCCTCCCGTCTGGCCCGGGCCCCCCGAGGGGCGCGGCGCGGGGCCTCCACGAGCTCGCCGTGGGCCTGGGCGCCGCCCGCAGCGCACAGCGGCCCGCCCTCCAGCAGGCTGCGCCGGCTCGGCCGCGCGCCCTGGCAGTCGGTCACCACGCCGCCGGCCTCCTGGCGCCGTGTTGTGTGCTGTGCTGGCCGTGGGGTGGCGACGAGCGCCACGGCGACAAGCGGGTGGGACGACCATGCTCAATGAGGACCCAATGAGGACCCAATGAGGGCCCAATGAGGACCCAATGAGGACCCAATGAGGGCCCAATGAGGACCCAATGAGGACCCAAGGAGGACCCAATGAGCGCACCCGCGCGCATGCATGCCTTCGGCCGCCCTCCGGCGCGCAAGCTTGCTTGTGGCTCTGCGCAGCCAGCCTCCAGGGAGCCCCTGCATTCCAACCGCACGGCGCGACGGGCGTGGGCCGAACGGGGGGCCCGAGGAGTGAACAAAGCGAGGGGCCAGGGAGGACACCGGGGCGGAGGGGCGGCGACCGGGGAGGGAGCCGAGGCCTCCTGGTGCCAGCACGGCAGGTTCGCGCGGCGTCGGCGCGCGCGAAGGTTTCTGACACCGCGTGGGTCGTTCAACCTCGAGGCGATCGCGGCCCCGATCCGTCAAGGTGGAGTTCCGTCGGGTCCAACGGCGTTACCATGTCCCTCGGTGATTTTGCGTAGCAGAATTCAGCCTAGAAAGGTCTTCGACGGCGTCGCCGGCGCGCCAACGCCGCGTGACCCTACCGTAAATGACCAATGACCCGGGGACGTATATACCCAACCCTTAGCATGTGGCGAGTAGACATCGGATCACTCAGGCAACCATTGAATGATCCGCAATGCCCTTGAACGCTTCGCCCAAACAACGTCGGGCCAGAGTCAGATGTTTCACATATGCGGCGTCTCTCTTCAGAGTCAGGACGTTGGCAGGAGAGCGACCACGAGGGGGCGTGGAAAGATGTCAATGTGGAGGAGGGATGACTAGAGGTATAATTCGTGGGATTAGCAGCGCCTGCAAGGGTGCCGAACAATCTAAGGACGCCAGGGTGCCGTCCATATCCGTCCACGGGGCGACCATCAGCAGGGCTGGGATCACACCTGCCTGCGCCTCATGTGCTCAGCCCTGTGCCTGACTGCCGCCGGGTTTTATGCCAGGCCGCCCATGCCTCATGGACTGGTGGCGATAGTTGTACGGATCGCAGGCCCCCAGGGGACGGCGAGCTATAGTTGTGATGTGCGTAAGTCGTCACTCCGCTGGCCCTCCGAGGAGCCCACAAAAGGGGCGACAATTTCGCAGATCGCAGCCCCGCAGGGGACGGCGAGCCATAGTTGTGATGTGCGTGAGACGTCACTGCGCTGGCCCTCCCAAAAGCTCATCGCAACCCCCAGGGGGCGGCAAGGTCTCGTGGCGATCCGCGTAAGACGCGACTCCGCTGGGCCTCCCAGAAGCCCACCAAAGTGACGACAGTTTAGCAGATCGCATCCCCCCCCAAACCCCCTTGGGACGGCGAGGTCCAGTGGTGATCCGCGTAAGACGTCACTCCGCCGGCCCTTCCAGGAGACTACGAGAGTGTGGCGACAGTTTCGCAGATCGGCGAGATCTCGTGGTGATCTGCGTGAAAAGTACCTCCGCTGCGCCTCCCAGGACCCCACGAAAGTGGCGACAAGTTCGCAGATCGCAGCCTCCCATGGGCCGGCGGGGTCTCGTGGTGATCTGCGTGAGACGTACCTCCGCTGGGCCTCCCAGGAGCCCACGAAAGTGGCGACAATTTCGCAGATCGCAGCCCCCCAGGGGACGGCGAGGTCTCGTGGTGATCCGCGTAAGACGCACCTCCGCTGAGCCCCCCAGAAGCCAACGAAAATGCAACAATTTCGCAGATCGCAGCCCCCAAGGAATGGCGAAGTCTCGTGGTGACCCGCGTAAGACGCACCTCCGCTTGGCCTCCCAAGAGTCCACGAAAATGACAACAATTTCGCAGATCGCAGTCCCCCATGGGACGGCTAGGTCTCGTGGTGATCTGCGTAAGACGTACCTTCGCTGGGTCTCCCAAGCGCCCACGAAAGTGGCGACAGCTTCGCACACTGCAGCCCCCCAGGGGGCGGCGAGGTCTCGTGGTGATCCGCGTAAGACGTACCTTCGCTGGGCCTCCCAGGAGCGCGCGGAAGTGGCGACAATTTCGCAGATCGCCCCCCCCCTCGGGGGGCGGCGAGGTCTCGTGGTGATCCGCGTAAGACGCACCTGCGCTGGGCCTCCCCGGAGCCCGCGAAAGTGGCGACAATTTCGCAGATCGCCCCCTCCCTCGGGGGACGGCGAGGTCTCGTGGTGATCCGCGTAAGACGTACCTCCGCTGGGCTCTCAGGAACCAACGAAAATAGCGACAGTTTCGCAGGTCGCAAACCCCCGAGGGACGGCGAGATCTCGTGGTGATCTGCGTGAAAAGTACCTCCGGTGCCTTCCAGGAGCCCACGAAAGTGGCGACAGCTTCGCACACTGCAGCCCCTCAGGAGACGGCGAGGTCTCGTGGTGATCTGCGTGAGACGTACCTCCGCTGGGCCTCCCAGGAACCAACGAAAGTGGCGACAATTTCGCAGATCGCAAGCAGGGAGGAGGAGGAGGAGGAGGAGGAGGAAGAGGAGGAGGAGGAAGAAGAAGAAGAAAACGAGGAGGAGAAAGGAGGGAAGAAGGAGGATGGGGGAGGAGTGAATGAATGTTGGGGACCACGATGCCCTATTCAAAACGAAAATCCAACCAAGCGAGAATTAGGAAAAAGGTGTGGGAGACATGCGGCGCCCCGATCTCACGATCGACGGAGCATGTGGCCCAAGATCTCTCACAGTATGCTTTCTTTTCGCGCGTGTCCGACTGGCAAGGAAGAAAGGATTGGATGCGTTCTCGGAAGTCCGCGCGGATTTCTTGGATCTGCGCAGGGCCACCTTCCCCGGCGCGCCGAAGGCGGCGCCGGAGGCGCCGCTAGGGGGCTCAGCGCTGCTCAAAGCAAACGAATGTTTTCTTATTCGGCGTTTCAGCATTGGGCGGAAGGGGGGGGAGGGGGGGTCTGGCTCCGCACCTCTGCTTAATGCGACTATCTGCAGATATGCGTCCTATGGAGGAAACCCCACCTGCCGGAAACAGGCGCCTAATGTCTAAAAACGGTTTTAAAATATTTTGGGGAGACAATTCAAAAAAACGGTTTTCCCCAGCGCTGTAGTGCGCCTTTAGAAAACAAAAGGGAGGCGGGGCAAACTGGATCGCTGGAGACGCCCCCGCGAACGCCCTGGCGCCCTGCGTGCAGGGGCAGATTCCTCGCACCCCCTTTTGGCGTCAGGCCACGCCTGCCACGCCCTGCGACCCCAACGTGGATAGAGACTGCGCTCAGGGACCACTCCTTGCGCACCGCGCACCATGTCTGGGTTGCGAACAAGCCACGCCTAACACGCCCGAGCCTGGCGTGGAAAGAGACCGCACTTGGGGACCATCCCTTGCGCACGCCGTCTGGTGCCGAGAAGGCCACAAGTGCTTTAAGATGGCCTCCAAGATGGCGCAATATGGTCCAAGTTTGCTCAAGATGGCCTCATCAGACTGGCGACATGTGATGAAACTATTATGCAACAGGACAGGAGGGGGGCTAGACCAGGTTACGACGAAGGCCGGATCGCCCTCCAGGCCAGAAAGGCCCTCAGCAAGCCGCTCAGTTCGAGGCCGCACCAAGGCTCCACCAGGTTACAGCGAAGGTCGCACCGCCCTCTGGGCCAAATTTGCGGGGCTACACCAGGATACGATGAAGGCCGTCCCCCCTTCTGGGCCACGCAAGCGGGGCTACACCAGGTTACAACGAGGGCCAGCGCGCCCTCCAGGCTAGACATAACGGGCTACACCAAGCTACAATGTCACGTCGGCATTATCCCTGGTACCGAGGTCGATCGGCATCCATGGAATTTTTTCCAGGGGAGACAAATACAAAGATAGTTACTCGGATTCGAATTAATGGCAGTCGGGATCCGGGGGTGGGGGGAGGGGGGGGTCATCAGAACCTAACAGCGAAGACTGATAGGTTTCTAGTGGTGTCAAAAGAGAGCATCTTGACTCCCCAGGGCGGTCTGGGCGGGATCCGGACAAAACCGGACAAAAGGGTCAGCCCCAGGAATCCTTAGGAATCCTTAGGAATTCTTGGGAATCCTTAGGAATCCATTCCCAGAAAACCATTCCAGGCCACATTTGGAATGCCCGGAGCCAACTGTAAGCCACTTCGTGTTCTTCGTGTTCCCAGAACACCATTCCCAGGCCACATTTTGAATGTCCGGAGCCAACTGTAAGCAACTTCGTGTTCTTCGTGTTCCCAGAACACCATTCCCAGGCCACATTTTGAATGCCCGGAGCCAACGGTAGGCCACTTCGTGTTCTTCGTGTTCCCAGAGCACTGTTCCCAGGCCACATTTTGAATGCCCGGAGCCAACTGTAGACCACTTCGTGTTCTTCGTGTTCCCAGAACACAATTCCTGTACCATATTTTGATTGCCCGGAGCCAACTGTGGGCCACTTCGTGATCTTCGTGTTCCCAGAACACCAGTCCTGTGCCATATTTTGAATGCCCGACCTGAGGCAGGCTGAGGCCGAGGCAGGCTGGGGCCGAGGCAGGCTGAGGCTGAGGCTGAGGCACGCCGAGGCAGGCTGAGGCTGAGGCTGAGGCAGGCTGAGGCTGAGGCAGGCTGAGGCTGAGGCTCGGTGGATCCCCCATATGGGGCCACGAAACGTATGAGGGGTGTGCCGAAAAGGGTGCCGCGGTGCCATGCGAGCGCAGCCACGTGGGTCTTCGGTGGATCCCCCATATGGAGCCACGAAGCGTATGAGGGGTGTGCCGAAATGGGTGCGGTGCCGCCATGCGAACGCAACCACGGGGGCCGTCGGTGCAGCCCCCTATGGGGCCACGAAACGTGTAAGGGGTATGTCGACATAGGCGCTATGGTGTCACGCGAGCGTCGCAGCTTGGGCCTTCGGTGGAGCTCGGTATTGGGCCACAGGACGCTGCACTGGGTGTGGCGGACGCATGCGGGCACCCCCACAAGGGCCTCCGGTGGAGCTCCCTATGGGACCACGAAGCGTGAGGGGTGTGCTGAAACGTGTGATGGCGATGATGGATGATGATGATGATGATGATGATGATGATGATGATGATGATGCTGATGATGATGATGATGATGATGATGATGATGATGATGATGATGATGATGATTATGATGATGATGATGATGATGATGATGATGATGATGATGATGATGATGATGATGATAACGATGGTGATTGATGATGGTGATGATTGGTGATGATGAGAATGATGATGATGCTGCTGATGCTGCTGATGGTGATGATGATGATGCTGCTGCTGCTGCTGCTGATGATGATGATGATGATGATGATGATAATGATGATGGTGAGAGGAGGAGGGAGGGGGCAGCGGGAGGAGGATGGGGAGTGAACGCGGGGACCGTCTATTCAAAATGAGGATCCAATACCACAGGATGGCGGGGAAAAACAAGGATTCCAGATCCGCGCTGAGTTCCAAACGTTTGTGCTTACGCCGTCTTTTTTTGTTTTTTTTTCTCCGAGCCCGAGGCACCCCCGTCTGGCTGACCTCGGTCAGCACCCCTCGTCGTCGTCATCGTCGTCGTGGTCGCTCCCCGATCCGCGCGGCCGACCCGTGGCCGCTGCGGAGCAGATGCGCGGGGAGAGGAGGGAACGGGTGGAGAAGCGAGGCAGCGCAGGGAGAAGCCGCCGAGCCATCACGTGGGCGCCCCCCCGTCAGCGGCCCGCCGTTGCGGCCGCCACTCGAGGCGCCTTGTGCGCGGGTTCACCGAAGGCGCCCTCCTCCGCCACGCCGCGCCCGCTCGTGCCCATGGGAGTGGCCGGCGGTGCCGGGCGCCGAGCCGGTTCCGCGGCGGCGCTGCCGCCGCCGAGCGCGTCGCGCAGGAGGTGCGGCAGTCTCTGCGAGAAAGTGCTCTTCTTCGGCTGCCGCGACCGCGCAAAGGGATTGGCCGACGCGGCGGGCGCGGGCGCGGGCGGCGGTTTCTCGTGCGCTGCGGGGGCCTCCGCCGCCGCCGATGCCGCGGGGCCCGGGGGCGAGGCCGCCGCTGCCAGCGGCGCCGCCGCGGCTGCCTCGGAGAGCGTCTCGGAGGGCGTCTCGGGAAGCGCCTCGGCGCGAGCCCGCTGGGGCTTCTCGGGCTCGGGCGGCGGCGCGGACTCCGGCGCCGCGGGGCCTTCCCCTGCCGCGGCGGCGGCCGCGGCGGCCTCCCACGCGTCGGCCGCCCCGACCGGCGCCAGCCTCTGCTCGAGCTCCTCCCCCGGCTGGAAGAGCGGAGGCAGCGGGGCGCCCTGCCGCCGCCAGGCCCACGGGGAGGCCCCGGCGCCCGCGGGCGCGCGCCGCGCGGGGCTCGGCGGGGGGCCTCGCGGCAGCGCCGAGACCTGGTCCGCGAGGCGGTCGCGGCCGGCCTTCTCCGCGAGGCGCTGCATCATGCCCAGCAGCCGCGGCGCGTCGCCAGTGGTCCGGACCATGTGAGCCACGTCCAGCGCCCCGTCGGTCTTGTCACCCTGCGCCAGCCGCCCGAACAACTTGATGGCCCCAGCCTTCCACTCCGCTTGCAACCGCGGGATGTCGTCGCGCTCAGACGCCAGGAGCCCCAGGGACGACGCCGTCTCGATGTGCTGTAAGAGCAGCCACTTGCGCAGCGCCTCCTCTCGGCGAGCACAACGGGTGCGGTTTGCGAAGGGTGCGGTTTGCCTCCCGTCTTATGTGCCCCTCCCGCCCCCCGGAAACGGATGACACTGTCACTCAATGCGACCGAATCACATGACACTGTCGCTCCGTCTAATACAGTGGAGCACACATCGAGGATGACAGTGTCGCTCGAAACGACGACAATTATGACATTGTCTCTCACAGAGGCCCCGGAAAGGCCACCACAAAGCGACTCGCAAACCGCACCCCGGCGTAACCGCACCGATTGTTTGGGCGCCCGAATTATCCGGGGTAACTCGGGTCCGGGGTAACTCGGGTTTGGATTCCCCGAGTTATCCCTGACCCGAGTTACCCCTGATGATTCGGGGCTCTGGACGCCCGAGTTATCCCGGGTAACTCGGGTCCGGGGTAACTCGGGTTTGGATTCCCGAAAAGCGAACCCGAGTTATCCCTGACCCGAGTTACCCCTGATGATTCGGGGCTCTGAATTGTAGTCGCCGATCCTCGGTGGCGCTGCTCGCCGCCGGCAGCGGGCCCAGCGGCAGGCGCCAGGGCAGCTCGTGCAGGCGCCGTGGCGGTTCGGCGGCAGCTCCCTCCGCCGCGCCCGCGCCGTCCGGGAAGCCATCATCTCCGCCGTCGGGCTCGACCTCCGCGCACAGCAGCGACCCGCCCCTGGCGCCGAGGATCCACAGCGGGCCGGCCTTCTTCTCCTCCTCGGCGAGCGACAGCACGGGCAGCCACTCGCCCCCCGCGCCCGGCCGGCCCCAGGCCCCGGGGCCCGAGCCGAGCAGGAAGGCGCGGACCGCTCCAGTGGTGTCGACCGCCACGGGAAACAACTCCGCCGACAGGCCGACCCAGCGCAGCCGCGCGCCGGGGCTGAGCGGCAACCTGCCGGCTGCCAGCCGCGAGTGCGTCTGGGCGTGCAGGAGCAGGAACTCCAGGGCCTCCTCGTTGCCCTCGCCGAGGGGGCCCTCCTGGCAACCCGGCTGGCGAGTGACCGCGAGGAGCAGGCCGCCGCGGGCGGCGAGCGCGTAGGGCAGCCCAGGCAACGACGAGACGCCGAGCGGCAGCCCGCTGGCGCTGTAGATGCGCAGCATCCGCTCTGAGGTGGCGGCGGCCGCGAAGCCCTCGCCGCACGCGACCGCCTCGGGTGCCTCGCCAGGTGCACCCAGGGGCGCGGAGAAGGTGGCGCGTTCCCAGCGCTGCGCCGGGCGCAGCGTGAGCCTCGGGGCCGAGCCCGCGCCGGACGCCAAACAGCTCAGGCTGTCGGACACGGCGGCCATGCAGTGCCCCGCGTTTGCCTCCACGCGCTGCGGCTCCGGCTCCCCAGAGTGCTGCACCTCCAGTCGCCCGCTGCTGGGGTAGAACGCCACGCGCCCCCTGTCGTTCCATGCCAGGAAGGGCGGCCCAGTTCCTGGTGGTTGGGCCACGCCTTCTAGCTGGTGCCATCGCGGCCCGGACACCGGCGTGGCAGGAGCGGTCTGCCCCAAGTCGTCGTCCGCGGCGGCGTCGATCTCCTGCGGCTCTGCAGGCGCGGCGGCGCTCTTGCGCCCGGCGGTGCTCGGCCGAAAGTCGTCGTCCGGCTCGTCCTCGGTGCACTCCAGGCCGCTCGCAGCTGGGCAGCTGACCCCAGACATGACTGCAGGAAGGCCTCTTCTGGGCCTCGGGCGCGGGCTTCTCGAGCTCCGCCGGGGCGTGCGGCGCGCCCCCTGGCCCCCCTCCCCAAGAGGCTCACTGGCGCGGCTTGAGCCACGTTTGTGCTTACGCCGTACTCCTGTTTCCGAATGCGCCCAACGTCGCGCCCCGCGCCCCGCGATGCGCGGCTGTTTCGCGGCCCCACGCCCTCGCGCCACCACCCTCTCGGAGCAGGGCAACCGCTCCTGCTCAGACCGCGACGCGCGAAGCGCGACTAGACTCAGGATTGCGGGCGTTGCCAGGGGGGAAAGGGGAAGGGGCCGGTAACATTGCGGTTTGCCCCCCCCCCCCCCCCCCCCCCCCCCCCCCTAGCCCCGCGGGGTCTGGGCATGGGTATTCCTGGGCACTCCCAAACGGCGCCGGCGCGAATCGCAGTGTCACTGGGGGGGAGGGTTGGGAAACCAAAAGGCATCCATACTGCTACTTCGCAAACCTCTCCTGGGGTGCCTGGCCAGCATTTCGAGGCGAAGCCAGCGGTGGCGACCAGGGCCGCCCAGGAGGCCCAGAATGGGGAAACCTACTGAAAGGTGGGGGTGTGGCTATCTTTTCCTGGGGGAGAAAGGGGGGGGGGCGGCCGAGGTCTGAGGGGTCGGCCCGCGGCGGGGATCGGCCGCCGGGGGCCCCTCCTTGACGAGCAGCGCCCCCGCGGCGCCACAGCCAGCGCCGCCCAGCCCGAAGAAGGCACCCAGCCGGCCGCTGGCCACCTCGACAGTGCGGCACGAGGCGCCTCATCCGCCGCTCCGTGCTGCTGCAGTTGCTGCAGGAGCTCCTTCACAGACCGAGCCTCTGGAGACAACACGACCCGTCGGACGCCTTGCCGGGGGCAAGAGCGGCCCCCCCGCCAGCACCCCAGGACCTAGGAAAGGCACTACCCCCACGAGGGAGGAGACGATTCCGAGACCAAGCCCTGCTGGGGCTGCAGGGAGATGGGTGCAGTTCTGGAGCACCCGGAACACAAGAGGGCGGCCCGCACTGCCAGCTGGATCAGAAACGTGTACGGGTCTTGCCCCCTCCTTAGCACGCCTCGAGACACGGGCCTGAACACGTCAGTTCTACATCGCACGTCCTCTTGTTACTCACGGTTGGAGACGAGCAAGAATGTTGCTGCCCTGTGGCCCGGACATTTGCCACCGTGCCTTGCCTGCCACCTCCACCTCCCCATATGCCCCTCTTTCCGTCCACCGCATGAACATCGAGATTTGTGAGGGAGGAGCCCTGTAAGCATCTTGTGTTGTTCCGCCAGGTCCATCGCGCGCTTGTGTGAACCGAGCCGCAGTTGCACGCTGCACCGAATGTGTGAGGCGGGCGCTGGTGACGCAGGCACGAGCGAGGACAGAGAAGTGACAAGAAAGGGATACGCAAGTAGGGACGATGAAAGGATGGAGACACGAGGGAGAGAGGGAAAGCAAGAGGGGAACAGGATGAGGCAAAGAACTTGTAACTTGTAACGTTCTCAAGCCGAGAACCCCGAACCCCTGGAGGGGGTATATCGTCTATCCTCAATGCCGCCCGATCCAGTGCGATGACCATGACATGTCGGCCAAGCAATCAAAGCGGCCATCACATGCCGAATCAGGGCATATGAGCGAGGACAGAAACTGCAATACATGGATACACAAGCGAGGGAGAGAGGAAGAGCAGGAGGAACAAGATGATGCAACGAACTTGTCGCGCTATCAGGCTGAGAACCCCGAGCCCCCGAAAGGCGTCTATGGTCAATGCCGCCCGATCAAATGCACCGACTATAACATGTCGACAGAGCCATCAAAGTGACCATCACATGCCGAATCAAGGCATATAGACTCGATGTCCTGACAACCCTGCCTCCGATCATAATCCCCGATTGCATGACTCGATCACTCATTCGATCTCGATCCGTACAACATCCAACACGAACCGCACCATACGCACAAACCAACAGCATGTCCGATCCGACCTATACAAAAAAGTTCAAGGTTTCAAACTGCCGAACAACTCCCGTATAACTCAAACTGCCTTCAAACGAGTCAAGACAGGTTGGGCGTCCTGGACGTCGAAATCAAATTCCTCTATCAGACAGACTGCGCATAAGCGGACTGCTCCCCGATTCTGGAGACGGCTGGACGCGTCCTTACAATGCTACCTGAAGGCGATCCAAAGCCGATCGCCGCCGCAGAGCCAACTGATCGCCAAAGGGAAACCGCTGAGCGCTCTGCCCATGCCAAGCTCAAGCTTGGGCTGCCCAGCATCCGCACACCAAGAACAGCTGGTGGCGCAAGGCTGCAGAGGGCGCCTCAGCCAGGTGGTCGCCAAAAATCGGCAGGTGGAGCGATGCCAGTGGACCCCGGGCCCCATGCGTCCCATGCCATGGCGATTCATTACAACTCACCCTGATTTACAACAAAAACGTGGCAACCCCGATACGCCACACGCAACAAGTACCGTGTTGACACGGAGCTGAACACGGAGATTGAACACGTACATTTGGCGCGGTACATTCGCCAAAACAACGGCCAACACCATGAGTCAACAGGCAGCGTGTGAACACGGACGCTTTGAAATCCGTACGTAAGTGTTGGGCTTTAACACGGGCGTATCAGGGCGGCTGAGCGTGGCATGGCATTTCGTACATGGCTCATCGTAACCTCGGAGGTCGGATTTGGTCGGTCGCGCCCGTGGCCTCGGGGCCTCTTGTGGCGCAGGGGATCGGGCTCGCTTGGCTGCGCCCGAGGCCTTGTACCCCTCGTTGCCCTGGATGTCGGGAGATAGCTGCTCGTAGCCCGTGGCCGCATGGCCCCGTGTGGACGTTGAAGCTCGAAATCGCACAAGGGTGCGCTCCTACAGTCGGTCTTGATTGGAGAGGACACGCGAGAGGACACAAGACCCTTCCGCGGTCCACATTGCTATAGGAATGTAGGAGACATGGGTCGCAAGACACAGGACACGAGGGTACCCTTGATCTGGCAGGGTCGACCTACTAATCCGGGCCGCCTGTACTCCTCCAACCCGCGGCCGTGCCAACCTGCCCCACGCCCGGGCCGGGCGACTCGAAAGAACAACGAAAACGGGCAAGGCACCCGCTGCGCGGTCAGATTCTTTTGCTCAGCGTGTCGCGGCCGCAGTTCCTGCAACACACCATGCCCCGCAGTCGGAACGCGTGCCCCTCCGCTTCGTGGGGCGGGAGGCTGGGAAAAGCTCGGAACGCTGACGCTTGGGAATTGGGACGTGGTTCGCATGTCGCACCGAAGCGCGTTAGGCCAGAACCAATAGCGCAATACGCCAAGCAAACCTTACCGACCGCAATTCCGACGATCAGCCCCGAGGACTCTACCGGACTCGGCATGTCGAACATCTTGTTCGCTGAGCGCGAATCTCCGCCATCCGCCGTAGGCACTGAATGGAATATCTCCAGGTCCCTTCGAATTTTCTATCTGAGTGCTGCACCAAACATGCACGGGGCCCGGAATCCCCAGGGGCGCATTTCTTGGGATGTTCCGCATGCCACGTGGGGCTGGCGGCACCATTCTTGCAGAGGCCAGAAGAGAGTCAAGACGGGCCAAGAGGGTCTGTACGGTTGGATCTAAGACAGAAGAACATCCTTCAACAACGTGGCGGGACCCTCCGCCAGCCAAAACACCCCAAACCAAAGATCACCTATGCTACCATCAACCCAGAATGCACAAGAACACCCAACAAACACGAAGAACATTGAAGTACCCTCCCCGAACCGACCTCGATCTTATACCTCGCGCCAACCGTAGAGGGCACTGAGAACGGCTAAGAGTGACCTGAGTCGGCCCAGGGGGGCCGCAAGACGCCAAGGACGCCCTGCAGGCTGCCCGAGAGGCCGTCGCTCCAAACGAGGATCCCGAAAATGGGTCCCGATATGCCGACACTCACGGGGCCCAGGGGCACACAAATCAAGATACAAATCCCAGGATTCCAAATGTTTTCCATAGTTTCTGGAGTTCCGTCTTCCCCTCTACTTCCCATAGTTTCCCTTATGTTCCTGGGATTCGGCGTTAATTTGTGTATGTGTGATTTCCTCTTGAGACAAGTGCGTCCTCGCGGGTTCGACCTTCAGGGTCCCCAAGACAGCCACAGAGACCTCCACTATCGCACCAAGGCGGCCCGCTAGACCCTGGACAGAGCCCCGAGATCGGCCCAAGAGGCATCCAAGGCGGCCCCAAAGGCCCCCAAGACGGCCCCAAGAGGGCCCGAGATGGCCCCAAGATGGGGACCTCGAGTTGCACGTGCTCCCCCAAAAAAGCTGAAGACCCCGAACATGCCCCGAAGAGGCCTCTCGAAGGGCACCCGCGAGGCCCCGAAAATATACCAATAGCTCAATCAGGAGAACTCCGAGAGGCCTCTGCGAGGCACCACAAGATACCGAAACACGCGTCGGAGCGGCCTCTGGTCCACAACCCAGACGCAGTGGCGGGATGGGCCGAAGGCCAATAGATACCGGGCACGGAGGGACAGCACATGGTACTCGCCGTGTGCTGCCCAGTGAGACAAATTTCCATAAGCGTCTCACACGTGGTTTCAGCAATCGCGTTGGGCGAAACGCGGCTTTTGCGGCACAGGGCGTGGACGTCACAAACGAAAATGGCATCAGCACGGCGAGCAAGGGGGGTCACGGGGGTAGGACAAACGTATATATAATAATAATAATAATAGTAATAATAATATTACTAATAATAATAATAATAATCTAATCAGGATGGGGCAGACGCCATCATAGCACATGGCGTACCGTACGGTGGTGTTGATGGGGCGGAGGTGAAGGAGGAGGAGGAGGATGAGGCGAAGGAGGGAGAAGATCCACTGGGGTTCTCCTCCATACGTTAAGCACATATGACAAGGCATCTTGCTATAAGACACCTAGGGGCACATCCTCCGTCGACCCTGAGCTTCGTCAGGTGCCCCAGGAGGCTCTGCGGGCGTATCTGGAGATGAGAAACCATCCTGGGGCACCTGCTGGCAGGCGGGTCTCATGTTTGGTGTGCCTACCTCCGGCTCCCTCCCATCCTTCCCCTCCACCGCAGCGTGCCACCTTGCCTCGAGAGAGGGTGGCGAAGTCGCTGTTGGGGCAGCGGCGGCGGCGGCGCCGGGAGGCAGCGGTGGCGGCGGCGTCAGGAGGCAGCGGCAGAGACGGTGCCGGTGGGCAGCGTTGGGAGGCAGGGGTGGCGGCTGGCAACGGCACTCTGTGTGGCGAAAGCTTCGAGGACTGCTGGCGCGCTGGCAAGGCCGTGGCTTACGGCACCCAATGCCTACGCGGCAATCTAAAAGATTCCGCGTGGTCCGCTGCACGCCGCGAGGCCACGACGAACTGACATGGGGATGATATCGGATAGCGGCTGGCATTCCCACGGGGGCGCGCGCACGCAGGTGCATTGATGGTCGTCGTTGCTGTCAACGCCGAGATCCAATCATCAAAATCTGTCCCCAGAACCCCTCCTGGGGTCCACTCTGTCCAGATTTTTGAATTGCTTCCAGCCGTAACACAGAGCTATCAGCACAGAGCTTGAAGCGACAGCGGGGGCGCCCCCGAAAAACTTGGACCAAATCTACTATTACCCACGCTGTCTGGGCCGCGGCGAACTGAGTGCCACACGCAAACAGCGCTCTGCCAATGCCGGGTCCTGCGTCGGCTCGGTGCCGACCAGCGCCTGAGCGGACAGCAGAGTGGGCAGGGAGACCAGCCCCAAGCAGCCTTGAGGGGGACCTCAGCGGACTCGAGGCGGCCTCGTTGGCTTTGAGGTGGCCTTGGGACGGCCTTCGGCAAAATCGAGGCGGCCTTGAGGCGGACTTCAGCCGGCCCTACGCGGCCCCAAGGCGGACTTCAGGCGGCCTTCGCACCGCGCAACTGACGCTCAAAGCGATTGGAACGTTTGTATGGCTTCGAGGTTCCAGGGGCCCCACGGGGAACAAATGACTCCATCTCTGACGAGACCCCCGATCGTTACATGGATTCCCCGCCAGAGGGGGGCCCAGACGGCAGATCGGCAGACCTGTGTGCTCAGAAAATCCCTGACTAATGGTGTGTTCATTTCGTGTGTATTGCAAAATTGTGTTGACTCCCGGCTATGCTAAAGATCGCCGCAGTGCCGCGATGTTCTGCAGAACTCAGAAAACGAGTTTTTCTCGAGTGGTCGATCAGCCAGGTGACCTAACTTCGCGCATCGCGCCCCGCGATGTGCGGTTGTCTTCGCAACCTCGCGAGGTCACCTTGCATAAGGGCAACTCTCCGGCCGAGGCCGTGAAGCGCGAAGCACGATTATCTTCGTGCCCTTGGGGGGACCCAGGACCTCCAATTCGCGAAACGATTGGGCGCTAGCGATCCCCAGGCTCTCCTGGATCTTCCCGCGATGGCTTTCCAGAGGTCCTGTGAGCGCGGCCAGAAGGAAGCCTCGACCTCAGGCCCCAAAATGGGCCCCCGCAGAGCACCCAAGATGCTCCAAATAGTCCCCCCCCAGGAGGTCCCAAGAGGCATCTAAGATTCCTTCTGTCGACAAACCCAGGCACTGTGGCAGGGTGCGCTGATATCCGGGTCAAACCAGGACGCTTTCGAGCATGTATCAGGACGGCATGTTCGTCGGCCATGCGTCCTGAGACACTTCACGATATTACATACTTAGTTGCGGCGTCAGTGCATCTTGGTGCTAACGTCAGGGTGTCGCGTGTCAGAGAGGGCATGTGAATCTTCAATCTTGCGACATGCCTGGACAACACAGCAATTCCGACATGATGCGCTGGAGCCCACAGGGGTGGGGGCATCGAAACTCTAATCCGAAAGACTGCGGGAATCACCCTTGTCCTCCTCCTCCTCATGATCCTTCCCCCTCCATCTGCGCCTCCCCTTCCTCACCCTCCTTCCCCTCCTCCTCCTCCTCCTCCTCATTATCCGACCCTCTATCTGCTCCTCCCCTTCGTCACCCTTCGTCCCCTCCTCCTCCTTCTCCTCCTCCTACTCCTCATCATCATCTCATTAGCATGTCAGCATCGGCGGCATTATCATCATCAGTAGCATCAGCAGCATCATCATCACCGTCATGTTCATCTTCATCATCAGCATCAGCATCAGCAGCATCGACATCAACATCAGCATCAGCAGTATCACCAGCAACATCATCATCATCATCATCATCATCATCATCATCATCAACCTCAACATCATCATCATCATCATCATCAACAACATCATCTGCATCATCATCATCATCATCATCATCATCATCATCATCATCATCATCATCCTCATATCATCATCATCATCATCATCATCAACAACATCAACATCAACATCAACATCAACATCATCATCAACAACATCATCATCATCCGTGTCCGCCTTATGATCATGATTATTCTCCTGCGCTCCCCTCCACGTCCGTCTCCTCCGCCTCCGCCACTCGAGAAACAAACCATGAAAATGCTAGACAATATGAGATCCACTGCTCCGTCGCAAAACCGGCCAGCCACGCAGGGACTCTGAACTCCCCGCATCTTGCCAGACAGACGAGAGAGTTGAGCAGGAACACGAGAAAGTGGCGGAGCAGTATGTGAGCGGGGGAATCAGAAGAAGTGGAGGATGAGGGGCGCAATGACGAACCAAAACAACAAGGTTGGAGAGGAGGCGGAGGACAACAGGTAATCCGGGGGCTCAGGGCACAGCATCATCCTCCCTCCTGTCCGCACTCTGGAATGACGCACTTGTGCGTGGGTGCGACCCGCGCGCTGGCGCCCCACGCGCTCGGCGGCGGTTGGGTGACGCCCGATGGCGCTGCATTAAGTAAGCGAAACGGGGGGGGGGAAGAAGAGGAGGGGGCTAAAACGGAGCTCAAGAACCGAAGGATTGGGTTTCGGACGCGACCTGGCGCAAAGGGACGTCCTCTACCACGTGCGCCGTCTAACGGTGGTGCTGTGCTGTGCTGTGCTGTGGTGCTGTGCTGTGGTGCTGTGCTGTGGTGCGGTGCGGTGTGGTGTGGTGTGAAGGGGCCCCAGGACACACAAATAAATACACACAAATAAAAAGATCCCCCATATTTTCCTATGTTTTCTGGGTTTCTGTCTTCCCCCCCACTTCCCGTATTTTCTCATATTTTCGGGGGAATCGAGGATTAATTGTGTCTGTGTGTTTTTTCCTCTCCTGATTGTGTGAGAAGAGCTGGAATGACACAACCTCTGCTCTGAAGCAGCTGCTGCACGGAGCAGCTGGCCCGCGCGTGCGAGAAATGCCGGCCGCGGAGCGGGAGGCAGAGGGAGCGGAACGCGGCGGCCCGGCCGGGGGGGCCTCGGACGCCCCGGCGCGGGCCGGCTGCGTGTGGGGGCCCGGAGGGATGTGCGAGAGGGAGGGGGGGGAGGGGAGGAGGGGAGGGGGGAGAGGGGGGAGAGGGGAGGAGAGAGGGAGAGGGGCAAGGGGGAGTAGGGGGAGTAGGGGAGTAGGGGGAGTAGGGGGAGTAGGGGGAGGAGGGGGAGGAGGGAGGGGAGGGGGTAGGGGGAGGAGGGGGGCGGGGGGCGATGCGGAAGCGGGAACAGGGGCGGGGGGGAGGGAAAGGGGGGAGGGGGGGGAGGGGAGGGGCGGGAGAGGAGGGGGGGAGGGGAGGGGGCGTTGCAGGGCTCTGCTCTCGACTGGCCCTGCGAGCGTGTCCCCGATGGGATCCATTGGTCCTGGCTCTACTCTGTATGCTGCGGCCCCTCTGGAATCCATCTCCCGAGATCAATAAGCGTTTATACAGCCTGGGCAACTGAATGGATGGTTTGCGGGTATCCTTTTTCACTCGTTTGACAACCGTTTAAATAGTTTGAGCCAACATGGCTACGGACACTAGCTGTCATCTTGCCGGAGGTGGCATTGCTACCCATCCCTGGCGGAGCTCTGACCAGAGGTGGCAGTGCTGAGCACCTCTTGTGTTGCTTGCGCGGAGGCGGCATTGCTACGCACCCCCGTGCCTGTAAGTAAAGAGCGCTCTCCTAAGCACATTCCTGAGCGGGAAACGCATTCCGGTCACCTGGAGCCTTTGGGCCCCCGCGGCAACACGATGCAATGCAACACTGCTGCAACAGATGCTGTGCTGTGCTATTTTCAATCGGAACCAACGAACATGTCATACATTTCGGCTCTGCCGAGCCTGTTCTTCCACGTTCCTCCTGTCCCGCGGCGGCGGTGTCAACTGGAACGTCGCAAGGGAGTCGAAGCCTCCGGCCTTGGAGGAAAGGGTGAGGCAGGGGCCAAAAACAGTTCAGAGTTAAAGGCTCGCGCAGCCGCAAACACAAAAACAAATATCAAAACGTTAATGGCGACAGTCACGCCTCCTCACTACAACGCTCGCAGCCCTAACGCTTGGCGCACCTGCTGCATTCCTGGCAGCCTTCTCCTCTCCGTGGTCTCCTGGCGCCACGGCGGCCACGGGGCGACCTCCGCCGTTGGCGCTGCCTCAGGCGTCGCCCAGCGCAGGGCCCGGGAGCGCGGCCGAAACGTCGACCACGGAGGAACTCGACACTTCGAAGCTCCACTCGCGCCCAGGAAGATCATGTCCTTGCCTCGCGCCGCGAATCCGGGTTTGGGCGGGTCCTTGACCCTGGCCGCGACGGCGCCCCCGGAGGCAGGGCGAGCAATTGGCCGCCCCCCGGCCGCGCGCCGCTGGCGCCAGCTCGCGCGCTGCACGGCAGACGGCCACAGCCGCTGCTGATCAGCAGCCGGCAATGACATCAATGCACTCGCGCGACCCTTGATGAGGCCGATGCCGCGCTCCGCGCGGCCGCTTGCATAGCGGCGAAGTGGGCCCGCGCGCGTGGCCCCTGAAGCTTCGAGGCGCGGCCCGCATGGATGCAGAAGACCGCCTGCGCCTGGAAGTCGAGCCCGGTCGTCGCCACCGCGGCGTCCAGCCCCCCGATGCACTACTCCGCCGTCTTGCGCTCCAGCGGCGCGGTGAAGTACTGGACCTTCGCCTCCGAGTCGTCCGCCTCCGCGCGGGCGCCCCAATAAGCAGCGCTGCCGCTGGCCCTGGCGCAGCCGGCGCCGACCTCGGCGAGCGGGGCGGCGTCGCCGGCCGCCACGGCCGCCCTCGCGTCCGCGATGTGACGGCCCTGCTGCGCCACCTCGGCGCGCGTCAACACCTGGCACGCGCAGAGCAAAATGTACTGCGCCTTCCGCAGCGCGCTCTCCTGCAGCGAACTCGGCCAACGCCCTGGTGGATGGGGGCCGTTCAGGTCAACCGAAAGCTGCCCTCCTGGCCGGGCCGCTGGGTCCCAGCGGTAGTGCGTGCGCGTGCGCCCTGCGTTGAGCCTGCACTCGCGGCACTCCTCCATGAAGGTGGGGCGCCCTTCTGCTCGATGCTTCGCCAGCTCCGCCAGCGAGACTGCCGCCCTGATTGCCTGGGCCACCATGGCGCGACCGCGCGCCAAGCGCACAGCAGCGCGAAGCTGCCGCAGCACCTCAGCATCGTCCTCCGCGATGTAGATGCTGCCCTGCACGCGCTGCAACTCCAAACTTCTGTGGTCTGGCAGCCGCAGCGTGCAAGCCCCGGGCGCCCACTCGAGCCCACACTCCTCGATGGCCCCCCCCAGCGGGAAGAACGGCTGGAAAGGGGTATCAGGCCCAACGTGCACCATGTCGCCCTCCCCCATCCTGGCCTCCAAGCTGCCGGTCGCCGTCTGGAGGTCGACGCGCCGCGTCTCGACCCCGGGAACACCCCCCAGGGATTGAGCGCATCTCGTACGTGGCGCCCTTGTCGGCGAGCAGCATCCGCTTACCGCGGACCTTCACCAGCCGCGCCGCGGCCACTGCCAGGCGCGGGCTTGCGGCCGGAGACGTCGGCGTCGCCCATCCGCCCAGCCACTGAGGGCCCGCGTCCACGGGCGCGACGGCCAGGGCAGCGCCCAGCGATGCCTCGTCTGCCAGAGCCCTGACCGTCGCGGTCACTACGGCCCCAAGCTGACCAGCCTGCGCTGCAGGCTGCGTCTCCACACAGGTGCCGCCTGGGTCCGAAGCCGAGTCGGAGCCGCCTCCAGGTTTCGCGGCGACCTCTGCTGCCTTGGCCCCCGCCTCGCGCTTCGGGCGCGTGATGGCGTCCTTGGGGTGTTCCTTGCTTCCGAAATTGAAGCATTTCCGCTCGCTGGCTTGCAGCTTGCGGTGGGGCCACGCGCGCGCCGCCCTGCTTGCAGCCAGCACTGGACTCGAAGAACTCGCAGAACTTCGGCTGCTCCGAATCCTCGCCCTTGCCCTTGCCGTTGGTCTGTTCCCCTCCACGGGGCGCGCCGGCTTTGGCCTTGGAACCAGGCTTCAGCGGCGGGCCGCCGCCCGTGCCAGCCCCTTCGATGAAGGCAATCTGGGCCTCCAGCGACGCGACCTTCGCCTGCACCTGCTTGCCCAACTGCTGGGCCTGCTGGGCCTGCTGCGGCTGCTGCTCCGCGCCGTTGGTAGAGACCTCGCGGGCCTCGCTGGCCAGGAAGCGCCAGAACTCGTCGATCTGGGACTGGCTGCAACCCGCAGCGCCACTGAGGCCCCTCACGAGTTGCCAATTGCTCATCTGGAACTTGACGTCCTCGTCGGCCTCGGCCATCTTGCTCACCAGCGTGCGCAGCGTGGTGAGCTGGATGGTGGGGTCTGGGACGACAGCCCCAAGGCGTTGCAGCCTGATGAGGTCAAACTTCCACCGCTGCATCTCGACGTACACCTCCCCGCGGGCCGGGGCAGCCAGATTTCCGCGGCGCCCCCATGCCTTCAACGTGGCCGGTCTGTCCTGGAGGGTGCCCGGGCCCGCCTCGACGCACACGGCGAAGGCGAGCTCGCTGGAGCTCAACTGTCTGGTGGCGAGCGCCTGCGACTTGATGGACTCAGGCATCGCCTGGAGCAGGTAGGGCCAGTATTTGCATTCCACCTGCCTCTGTGCTCCGACATCTGCCCAGGACGTCTGCAGGCAGATGTGCCGCTGCAGCGGGTCCACGTGCAGGTACTCGTCGTACGATGCGTCCACCGCGGCACGCAGGTTGCACCACCAGGCTTCGACCTGCGGGTGCACCAACGCGCAGTAGAGTGTGCTCGTCTGCAGCCACTCCTCATACTTCGACGCCTTGCTCCCACCTGTCCAGGAAAGTTTGGGCACCTCGTCGCCCTTTAGACGGCTCAGGATAGCAGCCAGACCTGCTGCATCGGCAGGGCTCGCACCCCCACCAAAGTCGCCAGCGGCTGTCGCGGCGCCGAACGGCGGCTGCGGCGGCGGCGGCGGCGGAGGCCCACGGGCACCACACAGCCCGAATCCGCCGAACTGTGGCGGCGCGGCCGCCGGTGCTGCAGCTCCAGGGATGGCCTAGGGCTGCTGGGGCTGCTGACCTCCTCATCCGCCTCCGGGCATGCCTCCTCCAGGCGCACTCGCCGATGACCACAGCCAGGACGCGGCGCCAAGTCCAGGCGGGAGGACGGCGGGCCTCAGCTGCGAAGACCGCGCCGCCAGCAGGAAGGCTGCTACCGCCACCGGCGGCGCTCGGCGCGGGTTGCGCCCTGGCCAGAAGCAGGCCCGCGACGTTCATCACGACCGCCTGCTCCCCGCTCGCCGTTCCTGCCCCTGGGACTGCACGCTTCTGCACGTCGGAAGCGTCCACGGCCTTCGCGGAGAGCTCTACGACGTCGGTCGGCGCTCGGGCCGCGGGTGGATCGCCGAGGGCCGCGGCGAGATGGTCTACAGCATCATCGGAGCCCTCCTGGTCGATCTCGGCGGCAGCCGTCGGCTGCGGAGTTGCTGGGGCTGGCCGACCGGCGGCGCTGCCCGCGCCTGGGGTCGCGTAGCCGCCGCCTCCAGACTGGTGCAACTCTCACAGTACTGCGCGTTCTCCGCGCGGAGCCTGACCAGCTCTGCCTCCATGGCCGCCATCCTCTCGGCCACTTCGGCGCCGAACTGCTGAACTCCAGGAGGGTCGGCGCCGTCTGCTGGCTGAAATGCAAGCAACACGCGTGGGCGGGCAGACCCTGGGATCTCGGCCACGCCGCCAGTGGTCTGCCTCGGGCCGGCCAGCATTCTGCTGGCGAGCCGAGTGACTCCAGCCCCAAGCCCGGCAGCGGTCGCACCGACGACCTGGCCGGCAAGCTGCCCACCAGAAGCCAGCGCGCGGCCGAACTGCTGCGCGCCATGCTGGATCATCGTGGAGCGTCTCGCGGCCACGAAGGCGCCCCGCTCCGCGATGCAAGTCACGCACACAGGACTCCTGCCGAACACCTGCATGTAGTGGGCGTGCACGACCCCGCCGCAGCTGTCACACTGCACGGCGGGCCCCACGACGTAGTCGAAGCAGGCGGCACACTGGCGCACCTGCGCCCCAAAACTGTGTGCCGTGGATCGTGGCAGCTATTGGGCTCATAACCCTTCGCAGGGCTCTGCTCTCGACTGGCGCCGCGAACGTGTCCCCGATGAGATCCATTGGTCCTGGCTCTACTCTGTATGCTCCAGCCCCTCTGGAATCCATCTTTCCTCGGCACTATCAGTCAATAGTCGGATGACCTCTTCTCTGCTCACTGGGAAGGGCTGACTGAGACTCTCCCGTTGTTTCTGGTTCGGGTCCGGAGCACTCGGCAAAACAAGGTATCTGTTGAGATCAATAAGCGTTTATACAGCCTGGGCAACTGAGTGGATGGGTTGCGGGTATCCTTTTTCACTGGTTTGGCAACCATCATTTAAAGACTTGAGCCCAAATTGCTACGGACATAAACTGTCCTCTTCCCGAGGTGGCATTGCTACCCACCCCTGGCGGAGCTCTGACCAGAGGTGGCATTGCTACGCACCTCTGGTGTTGCTTGCGCGGAGGTGGCATTGCTACACACCCCCGTGCCTGTAAGTGAAGTGCGTTTCCCCAAGCATTGGCGGAAATTCCTGCCAGGAAGCGGGAATCGCATTCCGGTCACCTGGGGCCTTTGGGCCCCCGCGTCAACACGATGCAATGCAACACTGCTGCAAGAGATGCTGTGCTGCGCTATTTTGTGCGTGCCGGCACATCCACTATCGATGCGGTGTTCTGTGCTATGCCATGTCTCTCGCACCGCACATCGCAGACGAAAGCAACGGCACTGTCACGAATTCCAGCTCTGCCGAGCCTGTTCTTCCACGGGGGGGGAGGGGGCGGGGGAGGGGAGAGGAGAAGGGGAGGGGACGAGGCGAGGGGGAGGGAGGGGAGGGGAGAGGAGAAGGGGGAGGAGGGGGAGGAGGGAAGGAGGGGAGGGGGGGGCTGGGACGAAGAAGGGCGGGGAGGGAGGGGTCAGAGGGTGCTGCAGATGGGGTAGGGCGAGCGCCTCCCGCAGCGCGCCCGCACCCCCGCCGAGGCCCAGGGCGCGCCCGTTCAGCTCCGCGCCGCGGCCCTCGAGCGCGGAGAAGAGCTCGTCGCGGGAGGGGTCGTAGCTGCGCCGGCGGGGCGGGAGGGCAGTAGGAGGGAGGAAGGGAGGGAGGGAGGGAGAGGAGGGGGAAGGAGCGGAGGAATAGGAGGAGGAGGGGGAGAAGGAGGAGGAGGAAGAGGAGGAGGAGGAGAAGGAGGAGGAGGAGAGGAGGAGGAGGAGCGGGGGAGGACAAGCTAGGTGCGCTCGCGTAATATCTGACGTCCTACCCCTCCCTCCCATCCCTTACCATGGCGCAGTTCTCCTCCCTATTCGCACGATCGGATGTCGTAGCATGGCGTAGCATTACATGGCATAGCATGGTGTTGAAGATTAACGCGTAGCATGACACAGCATGGCGTGGCGACGCCCCCAAATAAGGGGGGACTTCTGCGGCCCAACAAATCAAAGGATCGGCACCGAATGTGTAATCACTTCCGATGGTTTTTCAGGGGGCATGTTCTAGATTTCGGGCCCTATGTGGAAAGACCGAAAGCCATGCCGTGGCATGGCACTAGAAATAAAGACGCCAGCGCTGCAGCGGGAGCACGATTCGGAACGAGCGGCAGCGCGGAAATTAGGTCAGCGCTGCAGCGGGAACACGATTCGGAACGAACGGTAGCCCGAACATGAGGCCAGCGCTTCAGCGAGAGCAGCATTTTGAAACAACGACCAAGCGCGGAAGCGCGAACATGAGGACGCGTAGCCTGACATAGCATGGCGTGGTGACGCCCCAAAGTGGGTGGGTGGGCTTCTGCGGCGCGACAAATCAACGAATCGGCACCGAATGTGTAATCGCTTCCGATGGTTTCAGGGAGCATTTTCTAGATTTCGGGCCCTATGTGGAAAGACCGAAAGCCATGTCGTGGCATGGCACTAGAAATAATGACGCCAACGCTGCAGCGGGAGCACGATTCGGAACGAGCGGCAGCGCGGAAATTAGGTCAGCGCTGCAGCGGGAGCACGACTCGGACGAAAGGTAGCCCGAAAATGAGGCCAGCGCTTCAGCGAGAGCAGCAGTTTGAAACAAAAACCGAGGCGAAAGCCAGTTTCTGGGAAATCCTGTGAAAAACACCTATACGCGGAAAGGGGCCGGCCACTTCCCGGACGCCACCAGGGGAGAGAGGAGAGTAGTATTCATAGTGTTTGATTGTGGGGGAGCAGGAAGCAGCAGGAGGTAGAGGAGGAGGAGGAGGAGGAGGAGGAGTTCAGTTCAGTTCGCAATCTCTTCAAGGCCGATCTTTGTCAACTGGGGAGAACTCTGGCTCGGGCAGGGGCATAGCTCTCTCTGTTACTCCGCCCATTTCGGCAGATTACCTTTCGGGAACCATGATGCAACCTGCACCACCTGAACGAGCATTCGACTGCGGCTGCCAAGCCGGAGGAGAAGGGGGAACGACCGAGCGGCGACAACGAGGGTGGGGCCCCAGGACCCAAGGCACGCGAGAGAAGCAGAGGAGAGGAGAGGGCAGCAAAAGAGACAGGCGGCAGGAGGACCTCGGGAGGAGGAGGAGGAGGAGGAGGAGCAGGAGGAGGAGGAGGAGCGGGGGAGGACCGCAGCCATTTTGGCTCTCAAGTCTCACGGCCCTCACCGTGGGTCCCGACTCCAGAGGCTCAAGGCCGAGGTGGAAGGGCAGCCCTTCTTCGGCCTGGCTGCCTCGGCCAGCTTTCGGTGTGCTCCTGGATGGACAGGGTTCCAGTTTGGCTCCCGCGGGGGCACAGCGAGACTAGAGCAGCATTGGGCCCACGGGCACGGATGGCCGCACAGTCCTCAAGGGGCTGAACAAAACCCGCTCAAGGGGTCGAATTGCACCTCGCGCGTCCAGTGCACGTGCGTGGCCTCGGCGCCAAGGTCGAACGTGGACAAGGCTGAGGCGGCGCACAGGCAGCAGGCGGGGGAAGTGCCAGCTCAAACGGTCCCACACCCCCAGCGCCCTGGGCAGCCAAGTGCGACGGGCAGGCTAAGCAGATTGCAGGACTCACTTCCAGGCTCGATAGGTTGGCAATCGGCGGCCGAGGTGGTGCACGCCCAGCTGGACTTGGCTCTGACCAAAGCTCGAAGCCGCCACCTAAAGAGGTCGAACCAGAACAGTGTTGGGAAAATATTGAGATGCTCAGCGAGTCGATTCAAGGTATGGTCGCAGTGAAAGGCAACCAGTGGGTCTTCAGGCCAAGGACAAGGAGGCTCGTCAAGCGCTGCAAGGGCTCGAGCCGCAGCTTACGCAACACACGAATGCTGGTCACCACCTCTCGGGGCTGAAGCGGAAGAAAGCTCTGGCAATTCAGCGGACAAAGGAGCAGGAGGCGGCGATCGAGGCAGCGCAGACTGAGATCACCGTGCAAGACCAGCAGATCACCAAGCCGGACGAGAAGATTGTCCAGACCAAGCGTGAGCTGGCGCAGTCTGTCCTTGACGAGCTCATGTTCTTCGGATGCCAGACGGACTTCGACCAGGACCAAGAGATACAAGACATGCTAGCCTCGAAGGCCTGGAAGCGGTACCACGACGAGATCATGGAGAAGGGCGGCGTTTCGTCTCCGGTACCTCCTCCTCCTCCTTCTCCTCCTCCTGCTGCTGGTGGGGGAGCAGGCTCGGGGCCCGACGGAGGCGCGCCGCCAGGGGCCCCAGTTGCCGAACCAGACGATGCAAATGTCGACGCTCTGCCGGAGGCCGCCAAGGGCGAGAAGCGGA